TCCGGGTGGGGGCACGACGGGAGGCGAGGCTGGCGCTCACGCTGCTGTGGGAAGCCCAAGCCTCGGGGTCCCCAGCCCAGGGAGGGCAGCGGGGGCTGCAGCTGGGGTTCCCCCGCACCTCCCCGCCACCAAAGCGGAGGTACCCCTGCTTGCAAGGGCTGGAAGAGGAGAAGGCAAGAGGCTCAGCAAAGACCTGGGCAGTTTGGTGGGCACACAACACCCCCCATGGCCTGTGCCGCAGCCCAGCGCTGGGAGCCGAGGTAGGAGGGGAACACGGCACCACGGCATCCTCGGCGCTGCCAGCACGCTCTGCGCTCCGCTGGCTACAGACCAGTGGGGAAAATCCTCTGTTTAGCCACCTTATTGCCACTCCTGCTGCCAGCTGCACCTGTACCCTCCCGGTGCTGCCGCGGAGCGATGGCACCCCGTGCGTGCCACCGCAGACGCTGTCCTCCCGGTTTCTCCAAGCTGCTCTGCTTCAGTCCCTCGCCTTGGCGGAGGAAGAGGAGGGCAACTCTTCCTCCACTGCCCACGGCTGGGCACTGCCACCCTTCACTGCCTCGTGCCCCTCGGACATCACCAGCTCTACCACACAAACCTTTCCCGGCCACCACGTCCCTGGCTGCAGTGTCCCAGAGAAAAGGAAAGCCTAACCCGGCGCCTCTCTGCCCCAAAATGCCCTTTGCAGGGACCAGAGCCGATGCGAGACCCCACTCTTGACTGCAGACACCAGAGGGGACGCAGAGCTCAGATTCCCCACCCGGCCACCCCGAGCTGAGCCAACGAGGATGGCGCAGGTTGCCACCACAAGTGACACAGGTTTGGTCCGGAAAAGACCAAGCCCAAAAAAGTTCGGTGTGGAAAAGACCAAAGCTAGAAAGCGGATGAGGGATTCGGGAGGCTCCGGCATCGCACGGCAGGTCACTGGGACGGAGACCTTGCAAGGAGGCAATGCAAAGGGGAAGGTCAACGCTGGCACAGCTGAGGCACCAAGCTCTCTGAGAGCCGCCGGCTCTGCAGCTGAACCACTGGGCCAGACCTGCCATCCAGACCGGACCTGACCACACTCCAGACGAGCGTACCCTGGAAAAGGGAAAGGACATGGCCTGCCAACCTGCCACACCACAAGTGCTCCAGCCCAAGACCTTGCTGGAAGCAGGAGGAGTGCCGGAAGGCGGTGTCGCAGCCTGGACGTGTCTCACACAGGGACAGGCTGGAGGTGGTGGGGCTGAGCTCCTCTAGCCCACTCCACCAGAGACCTCCCCGGCTCCTGAGCCCGGGTGCCGGCAGGCTCGGAGCAACGTACAGGGAGCCTGCAGCGGGCTGTGCTCATCTCTGCCCTCCATCTCCCAACATACACAAGGCTGAGGAGGTTCAGGAGGCCGGGGCAACAGGTACGAGACCATGGGACTCCTGCCCTCAAGAGCCAGGAGGCTGCTGCTCCGACGGCGAGGGACGCCGCAGTAGCAGGAAGCCTGGGCTTCCAGGACGGAAAGGCTGTTGAATTTCTACTGGTACTCGACTTCTGACTGGCCACCTCGGATGGCTGACTGTCCCGCAGTGGGAACCACCGCGGCATCGAAGTCCTGGGACTCCCTGCTCGCTAGGCTGGAGCAAACCTCACAGCCCTCCAGCACCAACAAAGCTGGCACGGATGAAAACGGAGGTGTGCTCCCACCGACACGCCTTCCGCAGCAGCACGGTGACCACTGGCCTGATCGGCCACTTCACAGGAGGTCCAGCACACCCAGCCCTGACCCGTCCCTTCTGCCCCAGCAACGCACGGGAGGCTCTGGCTGCAAAATGCACTACACAGGGTTAGACCCCAGACTGAGCCCTGGTGGCCCAGCCGGGCGGCAAGCAACTTTGGTCACTCACCTCATGTTGGAGGCCAAGTGAGTGCCAAAGCTGTCCTCTGAGCAGCAAGGGCTGTGCCGAGCACCCTTCCTTCGCCTCCCCGGCTCCTCCTCCCTCTCTGTCCAGGGGGCATCTGTAGCCGAACTGGTCCCAGAGTCCGGCTCCAAGTGAGCCAGAGGAGCAAAGTTCTCCTCGATCAGCTTGGCGCTGTCTCGGATCTGTCCCTGTATTTCTGGGGTGAGGGTTGGGAGGTCAAAAGTGAAAAAGGTCCCGTGGGTGCGGGCTGGGGAGGAGAGGATGTCAATGGAGTCCAGGCTGGTGTAAGAAGTGCCTTTGGCTCGGTGGGACTCCACGATGCTCTCAAAATGCTTGCTGAAAGAGTCCATCCCATCCTTGGAGAGGCTGTGCCCCAGGAGGAAGGGCACTGGAGACTTGAGCATACCCTGTGTGTCTCGGTCCGTGATCCTAGAGGAAAAGAAAGTGAGAAGGACTGGTCACTGAGGAGCAAGGGATCAAAGCTCCAAAACAAAAGCCCACACGCTGCTCCAGAAGGAAACTGGGGAGGGCAGAAATCTCCTCCAAACATCTGTAGACCTCCAAGGAAGCGCCTCGCCTGCCCCATGGGACAAGGGACTGGGCTGGCCTCCCTCCAGACATATGCTTCTCCTTTAATGCACCACAGACTTTTGTTCCTTTAGTGGCTCATCCTCATAAGAAGCTTACGAGATGGCTACTGCTCCCAGCCACTCGACTCGAGCTTAGATCCAATAAAGGGCTCAAGCACCAGAAGCAGGATGTGGTTCAGCTCCATTTCCAACCAAACCTGGCAGTGGCTGAATTTTCCACCAGCCTTCAGAGCTCCTGGCACCCAGCAGGCTCCTCCCAGAGGTGCTCGGGACGGCACGACACCTTCCTCCAAGAAGGCAGCACCGTGCTCACCAAGCGCCATGCTCAGCACCCACCCGCAAGGTCCGCTGGCTGGTCCCCAGAGACACCCAGGACCCAGCACAAGGCGACGCGGAGCCCCGGGTCTCCCCAGGCAGCGCGGAGGGAGCCCCACACCCAGCTCTGGGCTGGGGGAGCTGAGCTGGCCCATCTCCCGGCGGCCAGGCTCGGTCCGGGCTCATCACCTCGCCAGGGACCAGCCCTGCAGGAAGGCGCAGCCTGTCTCCAGCGCAGCCCTGGGTCCAGCACGGGAGCTCCTGAGCCCCGAGCGGTTTGTCCTGTGCATGAGGCACAGCCATGAAAGCGGCAGAAAAGCACTTGCTCTGCCACTCGCTCCTCTGATGAAAGGAGAGGGACTGCTCCAGCTTGTCCCAGCTCTTGCTACCTACAAACAGCCTCGCGCAGAGGGCTCGAAAGATGCCTTGCTGCTACAAGCACCAAACGATTTTCGTTCATTAGCCTTCACATTCTGCTCGAGAACCTCGCCCTGACGACTTCAGCAGGCCGGGAGCTGGCAGCCCGGCCGCCCCGGCTGCCTTCCGCGCAGCGGAGTGAGGCTGGGGCAGGAGGCTGGGCACGGGCGAGCACGGCAGCGCGGAGGCTGCCCTCGCCCACCCACCAGCCCTTCCCTGGCTGCGCAGCACCCCGCTCGCCATTGCCGCAGGGCACCCACGAGCAGCCACCTCTGGGGTGGGCTTCTGGTGAGGACAAGGTAGAAGAGAGCTCTTCAGCACCTGCAGATGAGCCTTACAGCTGCGAACGGGCATCCACCATCCTTGCCACCCAGCCGCATGCTACTAAAGCGAACTAACACTGCTGGCTTCATTTTGCACCTCGAATCCATGAGGAGGGCGAGCGGCTGTGCCGGGGAGGACAACGCCAGCGGACAGACGGGACCTTGTTCCCAGGACATGGAGCTGGGCTCGTTCTTGTGATCAAGCGCATTGCCACCAAGCCACCGAGAAAACACAGATGGTTTTGCCCACACCATCTGAGCTCTGGAAGCGATCTCTGCACCCCAAAATATCAAGCGCCAAGCCGTTCAGCTCCACAAGGACCTGCTCACGGCAGCACGGGCGCAACGCTGCCTGCGCACCCCACTCAGACCTAGATGCTCTGCCAGCCCCCACCACGCTGCCCAGTCACCCTGCACCCTGCTCCAGCCCCCCAGGAAGGGTCACCACACCGTCACCAAGCCAGAGGAACACATCTGGGAGGAGCAGAGGAGGGCAGGAGACACAGAGGCTGTAATCCAGCGTTTGTGCAAGGGTGATGGGCAGTGGGAAAGCAAATGGGCTTCCAGCCTGGAACTGGGCTTGGAGAGCTGGTGAGCCTTCCCTGGGAGAGGGCCAGGTGGGTACGGAGGGGAAGCAGACCCCAGAGCTGATGGCGTTGCGTGCTAGCACCAAATCCAGCAGCACATTGGGTGAAGGTCTGCCCAGGAGGACAAGGGTCCAAGCAATGGGCTTTGCCATCTGCATCCGATGGCTGATGGAGGGGAAGGGGCTCGCAGAGCCGCACCACTCCTGGCAGGGGGGAGGAGAGGAGAAAAATCTCTCTCCTCAGGCCCTCAGCGGTTTTCTCTCTCTGCCAAGCACTCCTGTGAAGACCCCTGAGTGCCCCAGCCTTGCCCCGCTCCTCCTGCCTGCATGGGCATGGCAGGAGCTGTGTGGGGGTCCCAGCTCAGCCTGAAGAAGGGGAGGCTGCACAGCACCACCCAGCAGCCCCTTGCTTCATTTCTCTCACCCGGGCATCCCCTCTCCATCCCCATCAGCGGGAGCTGTGGGACGCGGCAGCATCACCCCGACCCACAGCTCCGTGGCCACGCCGGGCTCTGGGACGGAGGGTCAGGGTCCAAGGGCTCTCCCAGGCCAGGCTGCTCTGCTGGCAGGGAGAAGAGGGGTTTCTGCCCTGCCAGCCCCCCGTGCTCCCGGGGGGGCCAGGCACCCCTGCCTCCAGCTTAGCCAGCACGTCTGCCGATGCTCAGGGAGGACGGGAGCTGAGCCTGCTCTCACTGACAGGTCTTGGCTCTGCGGGACTAATGGGAATAAAGACAGTGAAGGCTTAGACTAGTCATTAGAGCCGGCAAATCTGGCTCTAAATATATTCAGTGAGCAGATTTGCTGGAAGAAGACACTGCTTCTTCTGTCGCTTTCCACGTCTCGTTTGATTTGGTGCTGGGTTTTTTTAGCCCAATGTCTGGCCGGCTGTTAGCACGCTCCCTTATTCCGGGAGGGCAAATCACCGAAGGAGATGTCCTTCGGCCAGAACAGGAAGGACAACAAGACAGTACTAAGCCAAAATCCCCCTCGCAGAGGGTGCTAAACCTCTAAGGCTAGATTTTCAAAGGGATTTACGCTCTAAATGCTGCAAATCAGCATCCAAAGGTGCTTCAGTAATTTTGTAGGGCTGGTCCTTCCCAGCTACCGGGCCAGGTCTGGGGTACAGCAGCTCCAGGGAGCCCGGGGGGCTTCTTAATCACCCCTGCATCACCCCTCCTGTGAGCAGGCACGGCAGAAAGCTTGAAGTAGAAAACATCAATACTGGTGACTGGCAAACAGGGAGGAGGACTGCAGCTGCAGAGCTCAGAAGCAGTGCGTAAGCAAAACCCAGGGCTGCGATGCAGGGACTAAGCAAGCTCGTGGTCTGGGGCTCAGGATTTTCAAGACGCTGCCCGCAGGGTCTGCACCTACCTGGGGAATACTCAGAGGGCTGCAAGGCAAAAAAACCCACTGGTCTACAAAGAAGCCGTATAAAATGGAGACGACACCGCTACCGACACACCAGTAATTGCATCGGGAGCACCGCCTTTAGAGGCAACAACGCGTTTAAGGATACACCCAAGCTTTCCAGCGCTGTCTGGGGAGCTACAGCAAGGTGTCTCAGAGGACAGAAAGCAGGCGTAGGCTTACAGCTCACAGCACTTGTAGTGGCCTAGCACACATCTGGGAATAAAATATCACCACGTGAGATAACTGTTGCTGTAACATGAAGGACTTGCTTGCAGTGATAATAACTTTACACCTTACTCAAAACTTCCATCGCTATTCATTTGGAAAAAAAAATGTATAAAAAATGGCTTATCTTCAGGTTTTCTCTAGCACCCAAAGTTTTTGGGGACAGGGCGGGTGGCAGGGAGGGCTGTATCCGTCCCCTCCACTAGAGACGCGAGGGCTGGACGAACTGGCAGGAGCCCAGCTCCCCTCGGGCCGCACGCCTTCCCTCCCCATCCGCCCACCACCGCCGCGCTTCTCCTTCCCAGCGCAGGGACACCACTGGGGATTATATTTTCAGTCTCTTTTCCTCCCGCCGACATCAAAACCTCCCTCTTCCTCTTCTTCCACCTAAACGCACGGCCGGGGTGAGTGCGCGCTGCCAGGCAGCACCCCTGGCACCGCCCTGGCTTTGCACCTCCCTGGCAGGACCTCTCCCCACCCCTGCGGAGCACTTGTTGATGGTGCTGAGCCCCCTCATCTCACTCAAGACTCCTTGCCAAGACACACGTCGGGATGTGTCCTTGGCTGCTGCTGCCTGCAGTGGTGTTTCCCAGTCTCTGCCAAGGCCCTTCCCCTCCGGTGCTGTGGGGCTCCTGCCCCTCCCCCATGCCTCCTGGGGCAGGTTGGTGATGCCCGGCACTCCTCCTGGTCAAACCACCACTCCGGAGGACACTCCGTGGGCAGAGCCTCACGCTGACAGGCCAGAACGCCGTCTCCCATAGGTCCCAATCGCCAGCGCCCGGCACAGGGCAGATGGCAGCTGGGGTGGCTTTAGCTCCCTATGGGCGGGCAACCACATGACAACCTCAGTGTCACCCACGCCATCAGGCTCCCAGCACAGGGTGCTCTGCCCCACAGCACAACAAAAGGCTTCTCCCAGCCCAGCGCATCCCCCACCCAAACGCAGCCAACACCCGGTGAGGCCAAGCAGAGGGGACGGCTCCGGCAGCCGAAGCACGGCCATCTGCGGAGAGGAGGGCAGCCCGGCAGCGCCGGCCAGCACACGGCAGCTCCAGGACACAGCCTGGGCTCGGGCACCCCAACACAGTCACCCCAATGCCCGGCAGCACCGGGGCAGGACATCATTAACCCGGTGGGACTCACACCGGGAAGCCTCAGCTCAGCCGGGTGAGCTCCGGGGAGCAGGGAGAGCCCCTTCCCAGTCTCTCCCAGTCCCAGTAGGGTGATCCAGGACCCCGTCTGACCCCACCACTACAGTCTGCATGGAGCTACTGGGATTTTTGGCTCTCGCACCCTTTCGGCAGAGCCTGTTTGGCCACACAGGGGAAGATAAGGAGGGCGAGAGAAGCCTTTTGCCCTCACCCACGGAGCCTCACCTTTCCCTGTTCTCCTTCCTCGTCGCCTCAAACACATCATCGTCCTCGTCCCTGTCTGGCAGCCCATCCTTCGTGCTGCCGGGCGGGGGGCTCCTCCGGCGTGCTGTTCCTCCTGCCCGGTGTGCCCCCGAAGCTTGGGTTGCTCTCGGTGTCCTTCTGGCTCTCGATCGCCGAGTCCACCTCTTCCTTCTCAGCCAGGATGTCGTCGATGTTGGTTTCGCGGTAGCACCTCAGCGGCACGGTGTCCAGGTCTGTCTCGGAGTACTTCACCGTCCTCCTTATAATCCCAGTCTCGGAGGAGCCAGGCTTCTGGCCGGCCGGAGCTGCCCTCTCGAT